TAAGTAAGTTAGTACGTTAAGTTAAGTTACGTTAAACGTAAAGGTAACGGTAAACGTAAAGTAAAGTAAGAACGACCAACTAATATATATATTATATGTGTGTGTGTGTGCTATATATATATATATATATATATATATATATATATATATATAATATAAACATTTTAAAGAAACCTGTTATATGAAAGAAAACATTAGCATGCTAACTACGCTCGAACCAGGAATAGGTACCTCATCCTGGGATCATATACAGAGGGTTGAGTACGTTATATTATATAGATTTTGAATATGAAAATTAGCAAGTCATGTGATAACTACAGCCAATATAAAGACGCAATGGGATGGCACGTATCACATATAAATTTTGATGTCTGATATTTCGTAAGTGGTGTGATGCAATCGAAAATTGATTGCTTTTTGGAAGTGTATGTAACAGCCCTCTCAGACGCAAAATATTCAAACTCTCAAATCATAAAGATGTGTTCAGATCAGGGGTTTACGATTATCAAGATGATGATATACTTTTAACTTAATGGCATTGAAAAGCCAAGGAATGTGGATCAACTGGGGGACTTCAGGACTACCCAGAAAAAGACCTGTAACAATTCATACCTGAGAAGTGGTGAACAAAAAGTGGCGTCTTGGAACAGCTGAAAATGCATAAACACAACCGTCAGTAGCAAAAGCCATACACTTGCCCCAGGCAACAGCACGCATTATAATCAAAAAGAATTTCCATCTAAAGTAACACAAGTTGCTTGCACAACACATCCGTTCAACCAACCATCTCAAGCAGCTGGAGAATGAAACAGATATTTATGCGATTCCTTACAAATACATACTGGTCAAATTACCTGAAACCAACAACGTCTATGTTTCTGTACAATTCGCCTTTTGAAACTGGAAATGGAAAACCGTCATCCTCGTACACTAGATGGATTATGGAAAGCAAGCAGGGTAGAGTGGTGTGATTTGGGCATGGCATCCTTAACATGGATCATTTTGCAATGGAAACTGTGTTGCAGGGCTATAATCAAGACTCGCGATCGTCAGACAAAGAATGGTCAGATGTGGTGACATGGACTATAGCGATGTGGCGAGGCTAGAAAATCGTTCTAATTTAGCATACTCAACGTTTGAAAAAGTCACCATAGAAATTTACGGAGAATCCTAACCAAATCTAGAATGTTCCCAGTGATATTTTTACCCTTTTTTATTCCATATCAAACATTTACAGTCTATAGAAATGTTCTAGCTATAATTGATAAGATTATTTCCGAATGGCTATTTATGTATCTTTCCAGAAGCATTTAATAAAATTAGTTTTAACTTTTATTTTTAGATCTAATTAAATTATTTTTGGGTATATTTTAACGTATTTAATTTTTAATGTGGATTGTATTTTTATGTTTGTATGTTTTGAAAAATACATATTTAATTAATTTAGGTTATTTAACTTTAGTTCAAAACAGGTTATATATCTTATGTTTATTTACGTTATGATAACAAAGTGTTTCAGTTGTCTTGTTTTACTATGTAAACGTTTTCTATAACCCACGTTTTAATCGGTATAACATGAGCTTTTAAACATATGTTTTACAGATCAACGAGATGACAATTCAGGTGAATGACTTGAGAGGAAAATTGTAAGTTCTAGTTACCAGTACCTCTATTGTTTTAGTCTTATTACTACCTCTGTTGTTTTAGTCTTATTACTACCTCTATTGTTTTAGTCTTATTACTACCTCTGTTGTTTTAGTCTTATTACTACCTCTGTTGTTTTAGTCTTATTACTACCTCTGTTGTTTTAGTCTTATTACTACAACAGTTTTTATAACACTAGAGTACTACAGATCTGTTTTTATAACACTAGAGTACTACAGATCTGATTTATAAGAACGTAACACTACGAAGCAGTTTCCATGAGAACCAAGAAAAAGACTAAGAACAAAGTATTCATTACAAATGAGTTAAAAAAACCATTGAATGTATTTTTATAGTAAATAATTGTGAACAGAGGTAATAAAACATACATGGAAAATACTTTTAAAATGTAATTAGATTTTTATAATTATCACCAGCTGTTTTGAAACGTTTTGCGTATCCGTGGACGCAATATAAAAAGTATAAACTGAATTATATTAACAAAGAATTATGTAATGAAACAGGGGAATACTAGATTCTAGAAACAGCCAACTGGAAATGTTGTTTATGATGGTATATATGTGTTAAAGATTTCTTTCCTTTTTCACCAGAGGTGAAACTTAAGAGAATCTGTGACGTACAGGCCTAATGCATTCCTTGATTGGTCGTACCCTCTGCTGTGGGCTGTTAGTCTCGCCTATTCAAGGCTCATCAGCACAGCTTGGGTCAGCAAACCAAAGAAATATCATGAGGCCTCTTACAATGGTGAATTGTGAGGAAAGATTTTGTTCATGATAATTTAAGTTGTTAAATAACTTCGAGTGAAGCGAACCTTTGGACAGAACTCGACTCATTGGTTGGTTGGTTTTTCATAGAACTATATATATACAGAAATTGGTTTTACGTATCATCTATAAACAATTCTGGTGATACAGATGTTGACAGAGAACTTGTACTTACCATGATTTTACTTTTTTATCATATTAGTGTGAAACCAACTTTGAAAAAAGTGTCCAAGTATGAGGGAAGGTATGTATGCTAATAATTCTTTTGTAACTTGCATGAGTTCGTCTTAAGTTGTTAAGCTCAGAAGACGTAAACCTTAACCTTTAACGTGTAGCTCGTTATTGTTTTGTAAGAGTTTAGTAACCAGCTTTAAAAAGTTTGTTTGCTAAGTGTCACGATCTCTTGTGTGCAAAACCATGCGGCTACAGATAATATGCAGGTATAGCCGATAATTTTTAATGTTTTTAGCGATGAAGTCAACTAGTTATGTGACACAAACCCGTACTAATTTTATTGTTATTTAAGGTTTGAGAAACTCCAAGCCATTGCTAAAAACGCTGATAAGGACTTTCGCGCCAACCTGAAATCTGTCGGCAAGGACAAGTTCAAGCTTGACGAAGAGGTGGAGGTGGTATGTGTCAAATAATTTCCTGTTTTATATTAGGTTATAACTAGTAGAGTATCTAGTGGGTGGGAAGCCCGTGGCAGCCACCTTGCGGCCCTAAATGAGGTGAGCAGGCGTTAAAATCAGTTAGATGTTTCTTTGTTATGACCGAGCTACTATTTTATCATTTAAAAAATACGGTTTTCTATTCTCCAGAATAAATCGAAACAGAAAAGAAGTTATGAAAGAGTGTCACGTGTATCGTGCAATGTAGTTCAGATTATAATTATTAATTTGTTTGGGTATCGAAACCCAATTTTTAACATTATAAGCTTTCACATTTCCCGCTAAATCACCAGGATGCTCTTACTCCCCCTGGCTCTCGTTACGTTTCGTAAACTTTACTCCTAGTGCAGAGTACTAACCAAAGGTAACACACATTTTTAGCCGAGGCATAGCGCCTCATAGAATGGCTCCGAGTTTTTTTTTTTGTTCTTGTTCAAGTACAAACTTTTAGCTCGTAGCTCCGTCATCTCGTGACCGATTTAAGATCTAATTACAGTTTTGGCCTTAGGAGGTCAAACCCTTTCGATTGATGTATTTGACCACGCCCAAGGTATCAGAGATTAATTTATTCTAATCATGTCTAAAATAATTTCAGTTTGAGGGTAAGCTGGTAGAGATCCCGATGAGTAATAAAATCGAATCGGGTATACGTGTACGCTTCATGCTTGGTATTGCCAGCGCAAAAAAATGTAGCTAATAAAAAGGGGGGAAAAAATGTCTCGTTGATTAATTTATTTTAATCCTACCTAAAAGGATTTCAAGTGCCGCGGCTTTTGAGGATTCCCTCATGTTCGCAGTTATACAGAGAAAGTATTGTATTGATTACACCCGATAAAAGGAAGAACGATAACGTGAACGGTATTTTAAATACTTACCAGTTAAATCCAATTCTACATCAAATAAACAAAAACAAAAAAATGGTTTTAAAACTTTGTCACAAGATGGTGTTTAATGGTTTGTTTTGAATTTCTCGCAAAGCTATGTTTTGTATGTATAATGGGAGTGTAACTCTAATCTTTTGTCCGAAAACAGAATCTGCCCTGTCGGGCAAAAACGGAACCTTCTTTTCAGCCAGTCAAAATATGTTTCCATTAACAAATTGTGTATTCGTGACCTTAGCCGTTTGTTACGGATTTCATGCTTTTTTATGTTAGTTTAGTAGTGTTTCATTATGTATTCCTCACATTTTTATTTTGCTGTTACTTTTGTGTTACGATTATAAACTATTTACAAATTTGTTTACATGTGAAAGAAGTCCTACTGTTTTTCATCCGTTTCTATATATAAATTAGCTACCCTTTAACTTACTAATCTCAGTGTTTTGTTACTTTGTTAGTTAATGTGATTTGTCATTTGAACGCCACCATTGGTTTTTTTCAACGTATTGAGCTAAAGGACTAGGTCAGAGGCTCATAATGTACACCCAAAATTTAAAACTAATGATCTTGGGGAAGGCAATCGGGCAGTCATCATAACCAAATAGTGAGGTTTACTGTCATTTTTGAGATGACCCCTACAGCTGAAAGTGCAAGACGTTTTCAGCAGACTTATTGCGACTCGAAAGTTGAGCCTTTCGATCCGCAGCCCGAAAAAATCCCTAATACTTCACGTTAAAATTATATGTAGAATACTTTGTCCCTAATACTTTACATTAAAATCATATCTAGAATACTTTGTCCCTAATACTTTACATTAAAATCATATCTAGAATACTTTGTCCCTAATACTTTACATTAAAATCATATCTAGAATACTTTGTCCCTAATACTTTACATTAAAATCATATCTAGAATACTTTGTCCCTAATACTTTACATTCAAAGTGTATCTGGAATACTTTGTCCCTAATACTTTACATTCAAAGTGTATCTGGAATATTTTGTCCCTAATACTTTACATTAAAATTATATGTAGAACACTTTATCCCTAATACTTTACATTAAAAGTGTATCTGAAACACTTTATCTCTAATACTTTACATTAAAAGTATCTCTGGAATATTTTATTTATTTTATTTTATTTCTGGAATTTTCCGATTCAAAATCTAAATTTGTAAAGAAAATTTATTATCCATTAAAAGTTTATTAAGACTTGTTTTTCCTTAAGAAATACTCATAGTGTATTTTATGGTTGTGGTCGAGTCAAATGTGACTAAATAAAAAAAAATATATGCTTAGCAGTTCAACCCCTCAAATCTTCATATCAACTTCTGTTTTTTTGTTGTAGTGCTATATGTTTATATGTGACAGTCAAATCCCTGCCTTATGTCTAGGCATTTGTTCAGTTTTTGTGTTGTGTACTTACATCCTTGCGTGTTCTTTGTTTCGCAGAAGAAAAAGGGGGCGCCAGAATGGGCAAACAAGTAACCCTCGTCTTCTTTTGCCGCTCGTTTCAGTTTGTGGTGGTGCACAGCTTTTTCTATTTTTACTCAAGTATACCATATTTAGTGTAGAAATAACATTTGATCTCCTTTTCTTAAATTAAGTAATGTCACTTGCCTTTAAGATAACTATAAATAGATGTCTGTATGGATTTTTAAAAATCTTATAAATTATATCTATTACATTCTGTCTATTAGTTTTCACTGAAGAAACCAAAATCAACGTTTGATATTCGAAAAGTTTTAACCTGATGTGACTCCCAAATGTTTGAAAGTCTTAATAAATATTCTCATTATTATTCACGTTTTCAATAACTGTCTCAATTTCTGGCGAATAAAGTTTTCCTTCACATTGAAACAAATTTGCTGAAACACCTTGTTCTATCCAATAATTATTCCATTAAATAAGTTGATGCATATATTGATTATGTTAGAACTGTGGAAAGAAAAGGAATTCACTGGACCATCTCCAAGAAAATATCTAAAGTCGCCTTTTACTGGTGTGTGAAAAACTACAACCTAATGTCGCTGTCGAAAGGAATATTACAATAAAGAGTATAACGGGAACATAGATTAATAATTATGATATCGTTTTAGTAAAACACATAACCGTTGAAAGTACCAGCTACAGATAACAGCTTTTGTTGTTGTTGTTTTTTTAATGCTGAGCTGCTATAACTCAGGTAATCAAATCATGTGACTAGTTTTGAAGCAATCGAACCACGTGGCTAGTTTTTAGGCACTGAATCAGGCAATCGAACCATGTGGCTAGTTTTAAGGCACTGAATCAGGCAATCAAATCATATGACTAGTTTTTAAGCAATCGAACCATGTAGCTAGTTTTAATGTTCCATTTTCCTTCTAATTGAAACCCCTTGCGTCACCTAACTTAAAGTCTTGTCGAAAAAAATATTAGTATTGTTACTGAGAATGTTAAAATATAATTCACATAGACGTGATTATTTCTAACTTATTTCCGTGTTAGAAATAAGAGCTGTTGAGTTCAAATTTATCGTAAGAAACAAAAAAAAAACAATAACAAAAAACACGAAGTATGAAAATATTATCAAACGTCAGTACAACAAATAATAGAGAAAATTGTTGTTAAAGTTCAACACAATAATTTATACTGTAATCGAATGATAAACTATTCTGTAGTTCGAACTCTGATAAGTGGAGTACGTTTTTCTTAATGTAAAAAAGGCTTATGATAGAGGAAATAAACTTTCATAGAAGAACAGCAGCTTATTTCACACCAGGGTTTAATATTTTTACATTTAGATTTGACTCCATACCCGGGACTTTTACTTGTAAATGGAAAAACCTTTACTTTTTTCTTTCTTTACAAGCGTGCTTCAACAGAACTGGCAAATTAGTTTTAATAAAATTATTTATCTTATATATTTATAGTAAATTGTATTAAAATACCTGAAAAATAATAGTATGAAATATTACTTACAGGAAAACTTGTATAAATTATACACATATATAGAACCTTAGGCCTAATACTAGTATCAAACAAAAAATAGACTATCCTTTATAAGATTAGGCCTACAAAGTGGCCCAATAAAGTTAATTATAAAAAAACTTTTTGTTTGAATTAAGAAGTAACGAAATCTAATCACATTTTAACATAAGAGATACCAGAAGGAACTAACCGAGTGCAAAATTGAAATTGTGATAGGTATTGTCAGTTACTTCTGCCTGGTCAGTTTTGATGTCGATCTAAACAGACGAATGTCAGTAGAGACAGAAAGATTACATTCAGTTGAAAAGATTTATTTCAGTATTACTTCTATAAAACTAAACTGGTAAAAAAAAAAACATTTGTTCATGTGGAGTAAAAACCTTTTACAGAATAAACATCGGTAAATTTCATTGACATTTATAGGATACCATCATGGAGACTGTATTACAGACTTATTCTTGAATGCCATTTACACTCCTTCTGTTTCAGTAAGATAAACAACGAAATAAAAGCACCAAAAGAAACCTTTAATTTTAAAACAAAAAATTATACATTTAATGAAAGATACGGTTCCTTTGTTTAAGCAACAAAGGCTATAAATTCAGCTTTGATTTGGTTCCCAAAGAGAAGCCGAGGGTTACTTTTTATTTCATTGATGTCACCCTGAAGATGATTTCGAAGATACCAGTTTCTATCCTTCAGGAGCAGGTATGGTTTAGTTTAGTTTAAAGCTTGCAATATATGTATTCATATGTATGTGTGTGTGCTTATATATATGTTGGTGTTTGAATTTTTGATGTAAATGCTTGTTTTTGAAACAAAAAAAACGCGTTCAGAAGTCCATTGTTACTTGAATTGTTCATTTTGTTTGTCTCCTGGTTTTGTAGTGTAAAGCAAAACCTAAACCCATTGTTTCATTCTGTTTAATTGTGAAACTCGTTGTACGAATATAAATAATTCCGATGTTTTATTTATTGAATCCAACATAATCTATAATTCAAGTGAACAACTTTACGGCAATAATCAAATATTCTGATATAATACCGAAAATATTTCGATGTTGACCGTGTTTCATCATATGTTTGCATATTTTTCCATCGAGTCTCAAGACTTGACATTTGCTCCAGCTTCAATGGGGCAGTTCTGTTATTCATTCCAAGAAACCAAAAGCAAACCTTTGCCTTTATCATTCAAGTGTTTAAAAGTTTTAATTCTGCGTTTGTATAGATAGATATAAATGTTTAGCTTACAAGACAATACTTGCAACTACAATGAAATGTTTGTGACCTTATTTTCTGTCTGATAAAATACCAAGTTTGAGAGTATCTACGAAGCTCTGTGTTAGGGCTAGGAACATTCTTACAGCTCTTTCGTTTACTATCTGCTTTGTACACTAAAGAATTATAAAGGATTACAATTTAAGGACATATATAAGGGTCGTCATCACAACTTGTATCTATACTTACTAAATCAACCTTTTTGGATTTATCCAACTTGACATTTATAACCATTTGGTGCGAACATACTTACCTCACGGTGTCACAAAAACTTTTCCTCGTAGTGCGATATCGCAGCTTTATTGGGGTCCAGATCTTCTTCGGAATTTAGGTTCTTGTTTGGACCCGGAAGGGTCAGGTGCAATCTTGACCTCGTCAATCGGAATACTCGCACGTCCTTGAATTTCCCGCCTTAGTACCGCGCGTGCGTAGGACACCGAGCAAAAGCGCAACTAGTGGATTTTGATATTGAAAAAGTAACAATAAAGGTCAAATTCTAAATTTTATGTTATTGAATAATTGATACTTTTCGAGAACCATCCAACATTTAATTTTGCATTTAAAGAGTTAAGGCCAAGACTATAATAGGTATATATTATATGTTTAGTCTAACAGACCCGAATGGGCGTTGGGAAAGAAGAAAGAGGATGGCGAGAGAAAGATGACAGATGAAGAAGAAGAGGAATAAATTTCGCCACCTGTTATAAAAATTCAACAGAGCCACTCCTCGATTCGCTAGCGATCCCAGAGAGAGCCAATAACCATTTGTGAAAGAGTAGATTACACCATCTGGATGTATACCGCAGACAAGAAGTTCTGTGTCGACCAATTAGGAACCTGATGGATGACTTAGCGAGTAGGGTGCATCTCTGTATTTCAAATAAAGAATAATTAATTACTTAGAGTCACCAGTTTGTACTCTTAGCCTCCCGGAATTTGTAATTACAGAATTTTGTTTTTACCAGTAAAATATTTCTACTATTATTGGTGATACTGTTTTTGTTTCTATTTTTGCTTCAATTTTTGAAGTCACGTAAATTTCAAATATTCCAACATACTTCAATTTCACTATACTTCTGAAGAAAAGACGAGCGTTAGAAGGGCTTCAAAAATAGGAAATTTTGAATCAAAATTCCAAATCTAGAAGGCTATTATCGTTTTGTTTTTCAAATTCAGTTCACCCTAAAGTTTGTTTTTATTCTGGATAGGAGAAAATTATTTTTGTAGCCTCAGTAGAGATATAACATCTTTCAGTCCTAATGTTTCAGTACTGAGTTTTTCTAACAAATAAACACAATCGGAGATTTGTTTGTAATTAAGCGCAAAGCTGCACAGTGGGCTATCTGTGCTCTGCCCACCACGGGTATAGATACCCGGATTCTAGTGTTGTAAGTCCACAGACATACCGCTGTGCCACTGGGGGGCCAATCGGAGATTTGTTTTCATGCCGGGCCAATACAAAGGGTACAGCCTTGGAAGTTTTATGAAAAAATAATTTTTTAAAGATGCATATCATAATGGAAAATTATGTGTGAAATCTTCAATTGCGTTTATTTGTTTAAAAAACTCAATACTGAAACATTAGGACTTTAATGAAAGACATTACATTGCTTCAAGAACTAAGAAAATAATCTTATCTTATCCAGGATGAAATCAAACTTGAAGGTGGTATAAGTTTGGAAAGAAGCGGTAATGACATTTTTGAATAAGGAAGTCTGATATGAAAATAGTACTTTTGAAGCTCATCCCATGTTTATCTTCAGATGTAAAGTCTAATCGAACTTAGCAGAACATTCATGCAAATCATGGCTTAAATCTTGGGAGTTTTGATGAAAACAATTCTATGTTGAAAAGCGTACACATAGTGCATCTTTCTAATCAAATAACTCGAAAATACGGTTTTCACGAAATTTTTGGAAAATACAAAGCTGTTCTAATTTTTGTCTTAACTTCAAAAGTAAAATAAAATTGAAGCTAGCCAGACTATTCATAAATATTATGACTTAAATCCTGGTTATTTTGATGAACAAATATTATTTTTAACACGCAAAAAATGTGCGTATCTTAATGGAAAATTAAGTGTGAAATCTCCGATTGGCTCCCCCAGTGGCACAGCGGTATGTCTGTGGACTTACAACACTAGAATCCGGGTATCGATACCCGTGGTGGGCAGAGCACAGATAGCCCACTGTGCAGCTTTGCGCTTAATTACCCAGGTGGTTAGGGCGCTTGACTCGGAATCTTGAGGGTCGCGGGTTCGAATCCCCATCACACCAAAAACATGCTCACCCTTTCAGCCGTGGGGGCGTTATAATGTGACGGTCAATCCCACTATTCGTTGGTAAAAGAGTTGGCGGTGGGTGGTGATGACTAGCTGCCTTCCCTCTAGTCTTACACTGCTAATTTAGGGACGGCTAGCGCAGATAGCCCTCGTGTAGCTTTGCGCGAAATTCCAAACAAACAAACAAAGCATTCAGACGTATCTGCATATTCAGCTAAGTTTGCCTTCATTACAACTTTGCATTTATTTTACTTTAAAATAATTTAGTTTCGGTTCATTTCATAGACTGTTATAAACACTTTATAAGCTACTGTTTTCTTTAGTACGAGTTTTATACTTCGTTTTTTCTGAGTTTCAACTTGTAAAACCGTGTGGTACACTGAACGCTCACAAATGTTTCATACTCTATACACTATTATAAACATCATTATTATACTTTATTGTTTATCTTACACATAGTTTTATTAGATAGAGTTTCGTCTACGCAAGTTTGTTTGTCAAACCGCGTAAAAATTTTACAAATAGATCAGGATTTATCGATCTAACACATAATGTCTACAAGAAAGCGTAGCTTAAATGCCATGCGTGAAAATAAATGAATAAAGAAAATTCAAGCGAAGGGAATGAAAACTACCGCAAACGTTTTATGGGTTTTATGGTTAGTTACACAATAAAACAAAAGTTTATTGAGTTTGTCAGAAGACAATTTATAAAATGTAAACATAATGCTTCTGTATAACTTTATAGAATAAATACTGGTAACACAACTCCTTGCCCGAGGTATGTGATAAATAATGTTTCCATGATATAAACTTTGGTTTGTATGAGGGTAAGGCTAGTCCTTAGTTTTTAACGTAATACAGTTTTCAAACTTCTAAGTACAGTTTTAAGATATGTTGGAATGTATTACTAAGAAAATTATCCTGACGTGGGCCTAACAAAATTAGCGAAAATACGTAGTGTGTAAACTCTCAAACTGCAAAGTATCATAAATCTGTCTAGTTGAGATATTTTCAAATACAAGTTGATGAAGTACAACAAAGGACACGAAAGCTGGAACAAATATAATCTCTAACTTTTCTGTTTCGTGATCAATTATACAGATTATTCATGTCTATAGGTAACAAGATCGTTAGTTCGTGTGATATTACATAACAGTAAAACTATGTTACGACAGCGGTAGTCACGTGACACTGGTAACATGTCATGATATTCTAGAACAGGGGTCAACAAACTTTTTTCACAGCGGGCCAGATAATTGAGAGAATGACGAGCGCAGG